ATATTATCATATGATTTTTGTCACTTTTATTATTGATATAATCAATTATGTTAATAGTTTTCCTCATATTAAATCATCCCTGCATTTCTGGTATGAATCCCACTTTGTTATAATGCGCAATCTTTGTTTTAATATTTTATTTAGGATTTTTGTATCCATATTCATTAAAGACACTGTTCTATAATTTTCTTTCTTGGTTTTTACTTTTCCTGGTTTGGATATCAGTATCATATTTTTGTTTCATAAACAAGAGTTTGGTAGGATCCTTCTTTGCCTATTATCAGAAAAGCTTTAAATGTCAAACAAAAGGACATTTATAGTTGATCCTAGAGGTAATAAGGAGCCATAGGAGTTATTGAGAAGGGGACTGATGTGTTCAGATCTGTGCTTTTAGAAAATCCCTTTGGCTACTGTTCAAGGGTGGACTGGAACTTTAGGCAAGAAGACCAATTAGGAGGCTATCTCAATAGTCAAGGTGAGACTGATGAGGACCTGAGGTCACTGGGTGAGTAGAAAGGAAACTTACATGAGAGATGTGGAGATTTAAAAACTAAAAACAAACAAAAAAGATTTAAGAATAGATAGAATATGTGGTTATGAAAGAACGAGGAGTTACTGATAAAACTGAGGCTGCAAACCTGATTAGAACAACAGAAGTGCAGCTGGTAGAAACAGTGAAATTGGGAGGACAGTGAGTTTGGTTGTGTTAAGAATGAGTTGCCTAACAGGAATCCAGTTTGAGGTTTGTTGTGGTAACACAGCTCTATCCCTAATCATTAACTCCCTCTAATACTGAGATGTGTGGGATGGGATGAGGGGACATGGAAGAACCATGGGCCGAATTTCATATCATGCTACCTTAGGACTGAGGCAGGACAAAGGAGTTGGTTTAGGAAGGGGGTGGAGAGGGAATAGATAAGGAATACTTAAAGACTCCTTTGCTCAAAAATGTGTCTATCCAGTTTCTATGCGGGATTGCATCTCCTCAAAGACAGCCAAGGGAGGCTGATTGTGGGAGAGTCACAATGACATGTAATAGAAATGCCTCCAAGAGATCTTGGAACATATTTAGGCATTACATGCCTGGGTCTCCTCATTTTCTCTACCACGTGAAGAGAGTATTAGGTTCCAAGAAGAGAGCAAATGTTCCCGGGCTCACCTCGTTGGGTGTTGCTGTTCAGTCATGTCCACCTCTTCATGACCTCATCTGGGGTTTTCTTAGCAAAGATACTGAGTGTTAGCCATTTTCTTCTCCAGCTCATTTTACAGATGAGGAACTGGGGTAAACAGGGTTAAATGACTTGCCCCAGGTCACGCAGCTAGGAAATATCTGAAGCCAAATTTGAACTTGGGAAAATGAGTCTTCCTTACTACAGGCCCAGCACTCTACCATGTCACCTCGCTGCTCCAGGTTACAATGCATTTACCAATTAGATACTTTTTTTTTTTTTGGCAGGGGAAAGGTGTGAGGAGAGAGGAAGGGAAATCAAATCATAGCTGGATAATATTGTTTTGCACCTTAGAAGGAATTACTTTAATCAGACATTGAGAGTAACACCTGGACCAGATTTCTTAACCTTTTTTTTGAGTCAAGGACCCCTTTGACAATCTGGTAAAACCTATCAGAATAATGTTTTTAAACTCATCAAATAAAATACATAGGACTACAAAGGAAACCAATTATACTTGTAACACAAGCAGCCCCGCCCCCTGCCACCTGAAGGCCAGGTGTGCTAGATTTGACCATTTCACCCCTTCCTCAGGGTTCTCTGGGATCCTATCCTTAAGAGGACTGAGGGGTGGGCTCTCTGCCATTGCCCCAGCTCCCACTGATGACATTCCCCCTTATGTAGGGGGTGTGGTTCCCCGCACCCCAGTTCCCATAAGCCAGTAACAACCATATTAGCTTTTACACAGAAATCTTTACTTCAAAAGGTAGGATCACAAACATACATTTACTTCCCCATCATGTGAGAGGCATAACCCTCTTTCATCTCTTTGTACCACCTCGGTCACTCGAGAGGGGAAAGGGGTTAGTTCAGGTACTCTAGATCACAGTATTAGTTCCAAGTCCAAAATCCCTCTGGGGCTGGAGTCCCCTTGCACCCTGGTTTCTCCAGGCTTCCATGCCAGTTTGGCTGGATACACCACCCTGCCTGCAATCCTGGCTCCAAGTTTGCCAGGGTTCAAACTCCCAGGTCTAGGGGGATCATTTATGAAGCTGAGGACAAATAACACAGAACAAAAACAAGCACCCCCAGTCCCATTTCTTAGGGTAAAAGAGAGGGAATGGAATAAGGATAGTCCATCCTCGCTGTGGGTAAACTGGGTAGATGCAGCAGATAAGAGGTGCCGAAGACAGAGTAACAGAAAGAAATCAACCTGCTGGGTCTCTCCAGTTTTAAAGATGCAGGGAGCCAATAAAAGGAGACTAACCCCACCCATGTGGTAGAGGAACCAGTGTGCTCCAGGTTAGGCAAACTGGACATGCTCAAAAGGCTCCTCAAGTAGACCTCCATGTTAGATAAACTGGGTGTGACCCAAATATAAATATCAAAATATTTTTCTAAAACAAGTTTATAGACCCCAGATTAAAAACCCCCTGGCTTAGATACATGTTGCTGGGTATTTAGGCAGTGAGACTTTTGAATGGGGAAAAAAAAAGAAGAAAGAAGTATTCTTGGTGAGAAGAGGGAATTTGGATAGCCAAAGGCACTGTTACTAACCTTAACTCAGAGATTACTGTACAATAAGCAATTTTCTAATGAAACCAGGTAGTGTAAGCAGTTGACCTGGAAAATTCAGGGCCAGAATAATGTTAGTTGAAAACTTTCAGCCTGATTTATCCAATTGCTCCCCATTTTTTTCCTTGATTTTGGCCAGTTACATTTGGCCCCACGCTACTGTGAAGAGAACTGTCTCCAAATCCAGCATTTTACTCAGGCTACTGCTCTGCAGAAAGTGCAGATTGATAGTTTTGGATTCTGCAATTCCCAGGACACGGGGTCAAGTAACTGCAAGGCTTTCTAAATAGTAAATTCCACAAATGCTTTCTGGACTATTAGTTAAAACTAGGCCATTCAAGGACAGTTAGAAAGATCAGAAAGACAACCTGGTTGGTGGAGTTTGCAAAGCTATAATGCCATTTATTTTGGAAACCTATGACACACAAACCCCACATGTATATCCAGTTCAAACTGGCAATCAGCTGAGTATACACATGGGAGCCACGGGAAATGGTGGGTCACAGTGGTCAGTCAGAGCTAATGGTACCCACCCTCCTTATAGCAATGACTTTTGTGCTTGGTCCTTTCTATGTTAAGAGCCCTGGATGTGGAGTCAAAGGGTCTCAGTTTGAATCCTGCCACTTACTACCTTCCTGACCTTGAGCAAGTCACTTAGCCTCATTGGGCCCAATTCCTCACTTCTAAAAAGAAGGAAAGTAGGGGAAGGAGAGATTACTAAAATCATTGACCCTTTAGACCAGAGATTCTTTTTCTTTTTTGTGTGTTATGGAGTATGCTGGTAAATGTTTAGCACCCAGCTCTCTGGGGGAAAAAAAAAACACTTTAAAGGTTAACCTGCATTATTAACATCTTAAAATCAGTTAATTAACAATAACATTTTAACATTTCATCACTTTCTTCAGTCTAGACAATCAACCAAACAATAAATCATGCCCTGATCTGTAGATTGCCAATTTGAGATGTAACTGCTCATGCTGAAAATTTAACAGTGTACTTGCTGCCTCCAGCAAGCCCCTGCATGTACCCCTTTGGCAGTCTGATGAAGTCTATGGACTTTTCTCAGAATAATGTTTTTAAAGGCCTAAAATAAAATTCATAGGATTACAAAGGAAATCAATAATCAATCAGTAAACATTTATTAAGCACCTACTATGTGCCAAGTACTGTGGGGATACAAAATGATAGCTAACGTTTACCACTTATATAGCACTTATTATATAGCAGGCATCTAACTAAGAAATTTACAATTGTTATCTCCTTTGAACCTTACAACATTCCTGGAGGTGCTCTGTGTGTGTGTGTGTGTGTGTGTGTGTAGTGTAGTGTATGTAGTATGTGTGTGTACACATATATTTGTTTGTATATATAAAATATGTATTATATATAATATATACATATATGGATTATACATTTTTCCATTTTACAGATAAGAAAATTGAGGCGGAGGTTAGGTGACTTGTTCAGGTTCACACAGCTAGTAAATGTCTGAAGCCACATTTGAACTCAAGGTATCTCCCTGAGCTCCATTCACTCCCCAACTAACTTTAAAAAAAAAAAAAATTTACACAGAAATACAGGTATACAAAAATTTTAAGACATATTCACAGATCTTTCTCTGCGTTAGATCTAACAGAATGCCTATTAGCTCTCTGGGTCCTGGGCCTGTTTCAGTTTTATGTGTTATCTGCAGAGCTTGGTACATAGTAGGCGTTAAATAAATGTCTGCTGAATGTTCAACGAATGAATGACTCCCTTCCAGTTCTAAGGCAGTGAGGCTTCCGTGTGCTGCTGCCACTGCTGCCGGCACGGGAGGGGCAGAACTGGCGGCGCGGAGACGCTTCCAAGCCGCCCCGTGCCCCTCCCGCTCACCCCAAGGAGCGCGCGCAGCAGCTCCCCACCGAACAGTCGCTGACCCATGTCGGCTTGTCATGAATAAGGCCAACTCCAGCGAGCCGAGCTCTAGTGCTCAGTGAGCCTGCGCAAGCCTCATGCGCCGTCCCCCGCTTCCGTAGCTTTACGTACACCGGTAGAGACGTGGCTAGGGAGGCGGTGTCCGTTGCGCAGGCGCACTAGCCAGCCGCCGTTGAGTGCGCGCTGCCGGCCGGCCTGAGTAGGGGCTCGCGGAGCTAAGTCGTCGGGTTTTAACCGCGGCTCCCTCCCACCCGGGGCGGCGGGGTCTAAGCGCCGCGCGCGGCAGGAGGAAGGTCCCGCGGGGCGCTCTTTCCCTCCCTCCGCGAGCCGAGTACCCGCCCGGCGGGGCGGCGGCCGCAGCGGGCAGAGCCAGGCCCGAGGCGGCGGAGCCCGGCCCCTCCGCCCCTCGCCGGCCGCCCCCGCCGCCAGCATGAAGCTCGTGAGGAAGGACATCGAGAAGGACAACGCGGGCCAGGTGACCCTGGTGCCTGAGGAGCCCGAGGACATGTGGCACACGTACAACCTGGTGCAGGTGGGCGACAGCCTGCGTGCCTCCACCATCCGCAAGGTGCAGACCGAGTCGTCCACTGGTAGCGTGGGCAGCAACCGCGTGCGCACCACGCTCACCCTGTGCGTGGAGGCCATCGACTTCGACTCGCAGGCGTGCCAGCTGCGGGTCAAGGGCACCAACATCCAGGAGAACGAGTACGTCAAGATGGGCGCCTACCACACCATCGAGCTGGAGCCCAACCGCCAGTTCACGCTGGCCAAGAAGCAGTGGGACAGCGTGGTGCTGGAGCGCATCGAGCAGGCATGCGACCCGGCGTGGAGCGCCGACGTGGCCGCCGTGGTCATGCAGGAGGGCCTGGCCCACGTCTGCCTCGTCACGCCCAGCATGACCCTCACCCGCGCCAAGGTGGAGGTGAACATCCCCCGCAAGCGCCGGGGCAACTGCTCGCAACACGACCGGGCCCTGGAGCGCTTCTACGAGCAGGTGGTGCAGGCCATCCAGCGCCACGTGCACTTCGACGTGGTCAAGTGCGTGCTGGTGGCCAGCCCCGGCTTCGTCCGGGAGCAGTTCTGCGACTACATGTTCCAGCAGGCGGTGAAGACGGACAACAAGGTGCTGCTGGAAAACCGGTCCAAGTTCCTTCAGGTACAGTAATCAACCGAGCCAAAGGGAGGACCCAGATGAGAGCTTGTGGGTTGGCATAAGTCTTAATAAATAGAGTAGGAGTGAGGATGTGTGAAGGGATGGGATGGGAAATAACTTTCTGATTCATCATATCCAGTCATCCCTAAAATGTAACCTGGGCATTAAGAGAAAATGCCTCATTTTTTTTCCATATTCATGTATGTATCATATAGATATACTTAACAATAAGCAGGTTGATACTAAGAGAGTTAAATGTCTGAGAAATCTATATTATGAACTCCTGAAACGTTTCTACATAATTTGTAAAGCAAGGTTAATGTCTTGTATGCTTTGACACTTCGGTTAGGGTTGACCTATTTAATATTAATTGGACAGGTATGAGTTAACTTTTTAAAGGTAGAATATGTGCTCAGAATGATGTCATTTAACTTCTGTAATTATGATTCCAGGTACATGCCTCTTCTGGACACAAATACTCATTGAAAGAGGCCCTTTGTGATCCTACTGTGGCCAGCCGCCTCTCAGACACCAAAGCTGCTGGTGAAGTAAAAGCTTTAGATGACTTCTACAAGATGTTGCAACATGAACCTGACCGAGCTTTCTACGGACTCAAGCAGGTGGAAAAGGCCAATGAGGCCTTGGCAATTGACACACTGCTCATCAGTGATGAGCTCTTCAGACACCAGGATGTAGCCACCCGAAGCAGATATGTGAAATTGGTGGACAGTGTCAGAGAGAATGCAGGCACTGTTCGGATATTTTCTAGTCTTCATGTATCTGGGGAGCAGCTCAGCCGGTTGACAGGAGTTGCTGCCATTCTGCGCTTCCCTGTCCCTGATCTCTCTGACCAGGAGTCTGGTTCAAGTTCTGAAGGCGATTAATGACTAGCACTTGTAAAAAGAGACCATTTACTGCCCAACTCCTTCACCTGCTTGAACTAATACATAGAACAGATGTTCTCAGATCGAGTGTGAAAGCTGCTAGGGAGATCATTTTCATTTACATGAGAGGTTTTTCTTGTCGGGCTGTTTTCTTTCTGTTGTAAGACCTATACAACTAGAAAATAAATTAAGAGAAAAGTAATGTCTAATTTTATTCTTATTCATATTGGCAGTTACTTTTAGGATAAAAAATGGCTTAGAGATATTTAGAATCTTAGAGATACTTAGAATAAGCAATTTGATAGGAAAAAAGTTGTTACATCAGCTGCATTCAGTGTGTATTGTACTGGGGATAAGCTACTGTTTTTGTTTTTAATTTGTATTTTCAGAGTACATTGTGGTAATTTTACTTCACAAATAGTTAAACTGAGTGTTTTTTGAAAGATAGATAGAATATTCACCAAAGAAAAGCTAAAAACTGACATTATTGTTAAGGAAATTACCAGGAATTGAATGAAAGCTTTTTTAACATTCCAAGAAGCCATTGTGCTTATCCTTAACTGTTAACCTTATGCTATACTGTGCACTACTTAGCCTACTATTCATGGAGTTTTAGAGTAGGAAGGAACCTTTGTAAATATAATACTTGAATTTTACAAATGATAAACTCAGGTCCAGAGAGATTAAAGTGACTCCTGAGGTCAAGCAGCTAATTATTAGCATAGGTCATAGTGGAATCTAACTTTGACTTCATGTATATGGTCTTTCTATTTATACCAGGTACTTATTTTGGTTTGTCAAATTTATTAATAGTTGTATACTTAAATACCTGGGAGCTTTAAAGCAGTGTTTTCTAGATTCTAAACAATTTTGGTTTAGTCATACAATTGCACCATGATTGAATAGAGCCTATATGTAGCAAAATAATAAGCAAGGACATGTTTGACTTATAATTGAAAAAGGATGCTAGGTAATTCTCCAGTTCACTGCAATGTCAGTTAAATGATCTATTCCTATTTGAAATAGTGGATTTTATTTTGCTCATTGTCTATGGATATCAAGTGGAAAGTTTTAGACATTCATTAACTCCTTATCAGTCCACAATGGTATAATTTATTTCCTGTTCTAACAGCTGATACCTGTAAATAAAATCTACTGATAATCCTAACTACCATTTTTACCAGTATTTTACATGAATCTTCCCAGCAAATCTCTTCACAAAGTTGCTAACCCTGAGTAAAAATAGATCTTGCTTTTAATCCAGGCTTCTCCCCCCCACACCTTACAATTTCTCTTTATTGAAGCAAAAAAAAAAATCATGTTCCCCCATCCACACACATGCACACGCATGTGTATACACACACACACACACACACACACACACACACTTTAAATAAGCTTATATTATACTTGACAAAATGAATGGCATTAAGATACATAACATATATTGGTATTTTAACTTAACCTCCTACAACACTTCATTTTCAGATACAGCAAAGCAATAGGATGATACATGTGTCATTGGCTTATGCTAACTAAATATGGCAGACCATTAACATACAGCAATTTGATAGTTTGACATTGTGCATATATTAATCACTGTTTCAGTTTTGTTGATTTGATTGATTTGAACTTTGCAGTGAAAACTGGATTATTCATGTAAAAGTTGTACTAAAAAAATCCAATAATTTTTACCATTGCTTCACATTTTCCAGAAAGGCATGTCCTTTAGTTCAGAAAATTCTGCCTTAAGCTAAGATGTTTTCTGTTGTCAAATGGCCAAAAAACAAATGTACTCACATGTAGGCCATGCTTTATACCAAATTAAGTCTTTTAAAGATACCCATAACAGTATTAAGATAATTCGCATCATTGTAACCACGAGGGGCCACCTGAAGCTTAGGAAGACCGGGGTTCAAGTACAGTTTCTGATGTGGTGTTCTGAACCTGTCATTTGATCTCTCAGGCCACTCTTTCAGACTAAATTGCTGAGTAGTTTCAGGTCTGCCTTTGTCTTGTCCAGGGAATTTCCTCACTAAGAATTCTTTATGTCAGGGAAATCACAGACCGTACCCAAAGAGCATTTAAATCAATAAGGTCTGCTTGTGTTCAGATTTTAATTCTTTTCTCCCCATAGTAATCAAATACATATCTGAAAAAGTTCTCTAATATTTAATAACTTGTATACCAGATAATAAAATTTGTAAAGATCTTTTATTTCCAAATCTCCCTTTAAAAACAAGTGGTTTGAGAATGGCTTACTTTTCTTTTAAATCTGAACAAAGAAGACCATTAAATGTTTTGTGTGAAGAGGATCTGTGGAATTATCAGGATTCAGAAGAGGAGGCGATTCCTACGAGGGTTTCTGAGAGTAGGTTAGTGGAAGATGTCTGGGGGTCTTGAGTTTAAATAGGCCATTGGTTAAGAATAAAACATTTTGAGTAACATAATGGTTCCTTTTATGCTCTTAAAATCTTGATGCCTTTAATAACTTAAAAACATGTCATGGCTTATACCTTTCAGGAATATATTGGTGCACAAATATTTATCATTTTTCAGTTGGAACAATTTGAAGCTTGTTTTGGTTTGCCTTTTCTTGGATTTCTGCAATGCAATGGTGCTTTACTTCGGTATGCTCAATTTGGAGTGGAAAAAAAAGGCATTTTAGTAAAGTCCTTGAAATAAAAATATTGTAAGCTCTTAAAATGCTTAATCCTAGATTCTTAAAAATTATGTTGGAGAAGTTTCTTCTCTATTCAGTACTTATTGTTCAGCCATTTCTGACTTTTTGTGACCTTGTGGGCCATATTATCCATGGAGTTTTCTTGCCAATCATATTGAAATAGTCTTCCATTTCCATTCCAGTGGATTATGGCAATCAAAGGTTAAGTGACTTGTCAGAGTGACACAGCTAATATGTATATGAGGTCATATTTGAACTCAAGTCTTCCTGACTCCAAGCCCAGTACTTTATCCACTGAGCCACCTAGCTGCCTCATTCACTTCTAAGTAGTCCTTGAGTATATTTTTCTGTAAAATTATCCTTCATCTGTACCTTTTTATATCATCAGTTAAGATTGACTCCCTTGTTGAGACAGCTTAGTTCTTTCAGAAATCTTGTTTGGTAGATTTTTTTTTTCTGAACAATGGAAAAAGTTCTAATTAAATCAAAATGAAGTTCCAGTAGTGTATCAATTTGTTGGTACAATAATTGGACACAAATTACTAATTTAGTTTAATTATAAAGGTAGTCTGAAAGCATGATTATTAGTCCCTTTGATTCTGTTTCTCCCTTTCTGCCCCATTGCTACAGAAAGTGGCTTCTTAATTTGTTTTCCTCAGTCTAATAGGTAACTGGCCGAAGAATTTGTTACTCCTACCAATAGGTGCTATTTGAAGCACATTTGAAGCATTTCTTTAGCACCTACCAGAGCTTACTCTGCTGACATTGTCTTTAATAACTCATTGTTGCCTCATATACCATGAAGAAGCATCAAAATTGGAATTTTTTAAATTGTTCCTTAAAAGGAATCTGCATGTGCCTATTTTAAGCAAGACTACCACCCTTGTCCTATCCCATTGAAAATATGTTCTGATTTACATAAAATTTTACAGGAACATATACATCATGGCATTGTTATTGTTTGTCCAAGCTCAAAGAACTAAAATGGCATCACAATGTCTGGCTGATCATACCAATAGGAATTTGGAAGGCTGTACTGCTGGTGAAGCACAAATAGTCTTTATGACCATTTGGGAAGGAGATGTCTCTAAATTTCTGTTACTTTACATACACACGGGTATACATGTATATATACATACACACAAAACCTAACAAAATACAGTGTTGTATGTGTTCCTGGGAAAAGAGACACAAAGGTTTAGTATTTATTTTTTGAAGGTTTTTCCTCCCAGTTTTTTGAATATGTAATCACAATACATGCTACACGACAAATAGTTATATGATTACAATACATTTACAAAGTAAAGTACAAATACATTCTTTCATTTGATCCTCACAAAAAACCCTGTATTCCTACTTTTCAGGTGAGAAAACATATTCAGAGAGGTTAGAAGGCTTCCCCATAGTCAGAATTAATGTGGTTGGGTAGTGGGATTCAAACCTGTATCTCCTGACTCTAGGTGCAGGGATCTTTCAACTACCACCTTAACTCAGCTCTAATTGAAATGAGAAAAAATTTTCCTTCATCTTAATTTTAGTGGCTCTGAACCTAATTCTGTGGTTTAAACAACAGAGTTTTTATATTTTTTAAAAAAGTGTGGGAGGCAGCTAGGTGGCACAGTGGATAAAGCACTGGACCTGGAGTCAGGAGGACTTGAGTTCAAATCCAGCCTCAGGCACTTAACTAGCTATGTGACCCTGGGCAAGTCACTTAACCCCCATTGCCTCCAAAAGCAAAAAAAAAAAAGTGTAGGTTTAGAATAACAGAAATCAGCATTTTCAGAAACAGATACTAGAAGGTATATTACCAGGGATAAATTAATTTTATAATAAATGTAATGTAAAACATCTTTATGTATTAAAGGTGTCATATTATTTGAAAGGTTTCAGAGGAGAGCTGGACAACTACAAAATATTGCAAAATAGGATCTATAAGAAAAAGTCAAAAGAATTTAGAATTAACATGTAGAAAGGTTTAATTTTTTTTTTACTTATATAAAGGATTCACACAACCTACAAAACCACAATCTAAAATTGGCAAAGAAAACCTAGAAACAGAAAATGTTACGAAAAAGAAAAGTTGAAAGGCTAGCACACAGTTTTGCCTATGTTGTTACTCATTAGATTTATTGAATAAATGAATAAATGTGTAAGGAGGGAAGGATTGGATCATAAGTTCAAACCCACAACCCTTTGATTACCCTCAAGGGCCCTGAAGGGAAAAGTGGTAGCCTAAGTAGTACAGATGAATGAGGGATGATTATTAAGTTAGAGTTAAAAGAATCTACTTAACTATAGTTCTTTATTTGTTAGGATTATGTACAGCGTGGACAGGGTGAGTAGCTTAAGGGAGAGCTGACTGAGGCCTGGAAGATCTAAGTTCCAGTCCCTTATGGACATATACTGCCTAGGTAACCCTGGGAAAGTCAACCTGTCCCAGAACTCACTTTTCATTTCACATTATTCATGTCCTCCCCTTACTTTCTTCTTCAACCTTTTACCTTACCCATGTGAAAACATGATAAGATGGC